TTTAACAAAATGGTTAAGTGTCCGAATGTAAAATTTCAAGCTTCTCAATTCCTCACCCAACACTCAAGATATCTACATTTGGCCGAACGCTCAAGCGTAGAATCAATACAAGAGGGCGTTCGTCCTCGAATAGAATTTTTTCCAAATGAAAGAATTCAGTTCTTCAAATAAGTTGCAAAGAATACCGAACGGTCAAGGACCGTTCAATAACGAACGTGTATTATCATATAAATCTCATATTAAATTTCTCACTTACAGTAAACTCATTTTCCAGTATAAACTTTCATACATTTACTTAATCATATCATAGTATATTCCATACTTCTCATGCATCAAATCAAAATCATAAACCAAACATCCAATATCAAAAATCATACTGCATACAAATTTACAGAACGTTCATACAGTACAACGCATATAATTCCCAGAACATTCATACATTTCAGTACAACACAAGAATTAAATTTAATAAGCTTCCCTTACCTGGATTCGTGACTGAAACGTCTAATAATTTGACTCGTCCACAACAGTTTTGTACCCTCAACGATTCTCTTAAGTTCTTCACTAAATCTAACCAAAAGAAATGTAGAAGAATTTAGCTGATACCCTTGCATGCAGCCAACTGTTGGTTTGCATGTAACTCAGAAACGAGCGTCCAGAGTCGAGAGACTTACCGGTTTCAGAACTGGGATCTATTCGGTTCAGATTGAAGCTCTCAACTCCGAGGATGCTCCTACGGTTTCTGAATACAATCGGAGAAGATAGTGGTGAGTTACAGTAGAGAGAAGGTAGAGTTTCTAGAGAGAAGGTGGAGGAATTTGAAAGTTAGAATCTTGGGGAAGAAGAAGGAGCATGCAGAAGAGTGGGAATGGGAAGAGGGTTTTCTGAAAAATCATTTCTCTTCCCACGTAGGACGAGCGTCCATTCTCCTGCTGCCACTTGGACTCCACTAACTGATTCCAGATTATCATTTAACGACACCTGTCGTCCGTGTGCAAAGTTTGGGTGCGTTTTTAATGAAATCCGACAGGGTTTTTAGGCGCATTAAATGCGATTTAACAGGTGGGGTTTTGGGTGTATAATTACGGGTATTACATTTTTTAATTATTGCACTATTTTTAGTATTTGTTGGGTAACTTTTAAATTTTTTTACGTAGTTCAAATTAAAAAGGATTTAACTTATAAATTGCAGTAACTGATGTTTTATTTCATGATGTTCTGTGGAAATTACTTATAATGAAATTTGTAAAAGGAAACTTATTGTAACAGTAGTTTAGATTGGGAAAAAAAAATTAAAACTAAATAAAAAATAAATTTGATTGGTGTTCATTAGATCAACTGCTTTAAATAAAATTACTTGTAAAAAAAAGCATATACATTTTTTAAAAGATAACTAGAAGCACTAATAAGTCAGATAAGGAATTTATTTTTTTTAAAAATCTATAATTCTGAATACATAGTAATATTTTTGTCTGGAAAACACATTTTATTTTTATAATAAAACCTATATTCTTATGTTCTTTTATGTCATTTTACATTTACAACTATTTTACCAAACACTTCTAATGGATTAAGTTAGCTTATCAGCGCGGAACTTATTAGCTAGCTTACCGTTAGAAAATAGCTTATAAAAGCTAGTTTCGTGAAACCAATACTAAAATATCGCAACAAAATATAAACAAATTTAATTACGTTTAGAGGGATATCTTGAACCTTCAGGTGCTACAACCCTTCTTTGGATAAAAACCTGGGAAAATGTATTGGTAGATAACTCAAATATAAGCAAATAGTTGTCATGTGTTGTGGATTTAAGTATGAGAAAAATCTAACTAATTTCACCTTATTTAATGATATCATTCCTTTTTATTCATGATATCAATTTTCGACGAGGTATTTTACAAAATGGAAGTCATCTTTTAATAGATATCAGTGAAATTAAATTATATAAATGACTTTGATTACTTTGGAATTCATTATTTTTCCTTATATTTGAGTCCAAATGAATATTTCTTTTTTGTTTGTATTTTGATATATACTATTATATACAAAATTTAAAACATTCTTAAGAAATTTGTTTAGAAGGAATTGTAGGGATGTCTTGTGCCTTGGGCAGACTGCCCTCCATTGGATTAAAAAAACTGAAAACAATTTATTGCATTCCACTTGTGAACTAGAATAATAATCTCTTTGTATGTAGTAGAAACATTACTAGTTTTATCTAACTATATTTTTGCTGCAAACAGGTTACATACACCAGTACAATTCATTAAACTCACACCCTGATGTTCTGAAGTCCTTGTATTCGCCACTACAACCATCGAGTTCTCTTGAGGGTCTAAGGCAAACATTTTTGTATTTTAGTTTCTTTTATGATTTACTTCGTGGCATAATATCTATGTTTGATTTTCAAACCCAAAAGTAAAAATCATAAATAAACTGTTCAGCAAAATAGTATTTCTGAATGCGTGATTTATGTTTGTCATTTATAAGATCACACCATGCCAATAACACATTCAAAATCGTGTCTGTAAACCTAAATTAAATTGTGGGTTCTTGATTGTTAAAGATGATATCTTGATGCAATAGGTACCATGATGGTAGGCTCTCTGATCAGCAAATGGCTTTGCTGCAATATCAGCGTGAAAATCTTCATTTTTTGAGCGAGGAGGTATACAAAGAATTGAAGCATTCTTTTACTATTTGGTTATATAAGCTCTGAATGATACTTTCAGTGTAGACATTCAACCGATGATTTCATTTAATTAGTTCATCAACATTTGGTCTTGCAGATTCTTCGTTTACAAGAGTGTCTAAGCAAATATGAAGGAACCGATGATCGGAGCACACCACAGGTAATAATTAACAGATAAGAAAACCTTCCTCGTTTTTATCATAATTTTTAATTCATAAATTCTCATATTTTGTCAGTTTCAAGTTACAACGGACATGTGTCGTGGTTGTGTGTTGGTATAATATTCAATATAGTATTTTTTATAATCAGAGATTAGCAAGTTATGCAATAGGAAATATCTTTGCTGATTGCGTACAGTTGAAGTTCAATCTGAATTCTTATTGAGATGTAAACCAGTAGTATCCTGTCAATACCTATTTAATTCTGTACTTTATTCGAGTAGCATTCAGAATCCTCCCTGCTATAAAACAGTTTTTTGTGTTTCCCCTCACCACCATCCCAACTGCATTTCTTTTGACTTGAAAAGGAATTGTACTGGTGTTCCAACGTGAATCACGTCTTGAGGATTTCTACCCAGTTGGCGTTGTTAGAAATCAGAACGATGTTGCTAATACGATTTGTAATATAAGGAAGTTGCGGTTAAATAGCCCAGGATTCTCATCAGAAAATCTATAACTTGCTACAGGTTTTTGCTATTATAGGTTTAATGGTACTTACTATTTAATTCCTTTCTGGTACATCGACAATTATCCTAGGTAGTTTTTGCTTTTAATATTTGTGCTTCGTTACCTGTGGGTTTCTAATTTAATTTTTAACTTCGTAGAATTCTTGAGTCAATGATCTGAGGCTGTTAGTAATACCTATACTGTTGATAATATTATTGTAACTCGGTCGAATTTTGATCTTACTCTTGTCTAGTAATATCTTTGGCAGAATATCTATAATTGAGGGACGTAGTTAATCTTCTTTCAATTAACTCTGGGCCTAATGGCTCCTTCATTTTCTTGGGAATCTAGTTGCAATGATTATAGTGGAGTTGAAGCCTATACTAAGGCTGGTCTCATGAAACTAGCTTGAATTCTGTTCCATTTGATGTTAGGCTAAATTACCATGAGCTAGGCTTGAATTTTAAGCAAATAACTTTTAACATAATTGTAAAGCAAAATATAGCTTAGCCTTAAGAAACTCATGAACTAGCTTGTCTAGTAAAAAAATTTACCCTTGGATATTGTTATCAATAAATATTATTTGCTACCTTCATTCTTCTTTTCTTGGTGATAAATTGATTATCTTGCAGGTTGACCTTGCCCATCTTCTGGCAGTACGTGATCAAGAATTACGGACACTTTCTGCTGAGGTAATTCCTGTCTGTCAGTGCAGATAACTACAGCTACCGAATGAATATTTCTGTAATGCCTCGTATAATGATTAGTCATTTTATCCTTTCGGCAAATGTTGATGGTTAGTGTCCCCAAGTTTAGGCAGTCATCAGATATCATTGAACTCCACTTAAATGACTGTTAAAAAAATTTCAGATGAACCAAGTGCAATCTGAGTTGAGGCTTGCCCGGTCCTTGATTGCTGAAAGGGAATCAGAGATCCAACATTTTCGCACGACGAACAATCAGGTATCTTAGCTGGTTTTACTAATATTAAAGGGATGTTATGTGCTTTGACTACAAGGTGCTTACGCTACAATTCTTGTTATAATAGTATGTTGAAGAGAACGAAAGACTACGAGCTATTTTAGGGGAATGGAGCACCCGAGCTGCCAAGGTATTATTCACAATTGCAATAAATACGAACTGTCTAAAAAATGCCTTTTCAGCTAAGACCGTTTTATTATGCAATTAAAGCTTGAGCGGGCACTGGAGGCTGAGCGGATGTCAACTCTTGAATTACAAAGGAAACTTTCAACGCTAAGAAGTCAATCATACACATCAGCAGAAGCCACCGAACCTGGAGCTTAATGATTCACTTGCAGGCGAATATGGCACATACCCACTCCACGATTAGCATTTAACCTTCTTCTCAGTTTAAATGAGTACGTAGTCGTCACACTATTGTAGAGGGATTCCATGTACATAAAGTAGTTCCAAATAGGGTTTTTATTTTTTGTTGAGAAGAAATGCATAGTGATGTAATTTGATTGCGTTATATTGTGCTCCATTGTGCTCTAACTTAACACATGCCTTGAAGGTCAATAGAAAACCAAACAAAGCGACAGAAATTATTCTGAGCGAGGATAAACCAAGTGAGGTCACAAATTATAAAACCTTGTTCAAGCTTTGGATATGGTCACAAAAATAAAAATACTGAATTACAATTGACTCACTTGTGAAGTTTCATTCAAAAAAAGACACCTGAACACATTATTGAAGAAATCACAACTTTTAGCAACGCCTCCCTCTCCAATTACAATATCCATGTCATATTTGCAAGCTCTTGTACAATCCGGGCAGTAAGTTACCTGCATTAAAAAAAATGCATGTTTCACATTATGCCAAATACAAAATCCTAGGACTAAAAGGAACCCAACGTTTCATTTACAAACCTCTAGTAACTTGGGTTGGAAAGAGCTGTCCAACATGACATCTACACCATACATTGCCCTTGATGTTGGACTGTGCATCTCAGGATGGGCAACAGCAGCTCCCTCAAATACTGAACGAATCATTTTCCTTACTCTTGTGTGTATATCCAACCATTTAACTGAAAGAGATACAGAGATGGGAATTTGTATTAATTAGTCATTTGAAATACAGAGACACTAAACACTCATCCTAAAAGTGACAGAGGCTAAACATGAGGAAGTACCCATTACCTTGATGTTCTTCCTCAAATTCCCTCACAAATTCGCTGGCATTCTTATGATTTATGGTTCCACGATAGTTCTATAATCCATGAAATGACTTATATTAGAACTTGTTGAGAAGAGGAAAACATTGAAATATCAAATATTTCAATCAAGTTTCAATCTGAATCCCTCTAGTTGCTGAGTAAAATGTTACTCAAGACATACCATAACAGTGAAATGAGTTTCATACTCAAACAAACTACTTCTGGCCAAAGAATATTGGTTGTTGGCAATCCTAACCTGAAAATGAAATATAAAACCTAATTCCGTTAGAATCATTCAAGAGAAAAGAAAAAAAAACTTGACAAATTTTCTTCACTCAAAAAGAAGAATAAATGTACCCAGAAACAATCTGACAGGAATATCTCCAGAGGATGCATGCTCCGAACCAGTACTATGTAACGGAGATCAAACTTTTTCCCCTGGAACAATGCGGGCTGTTCAATATACTTCTGGCAAATTTTGGGACCAGTTTCCATGAGCCGGATTATTGCAGGCAAATTATCAGTTACAGTAGTATCAATGGTGCGGGCCATGTTCCAGGGTTTTAAGATCCAAAGATTGTCTAGTCCTTCCCTTTTGCGAATACAATAGTCACCAATAAGTTGAGATAGGTGTGTTTCGAGATTATAAGTAGGCTGCAACCATTGGGGAGATCCATGTGCCTGTAGCAACGTAAACCATCTCATCACCACCCCGAGAAAAAGCTAAGGTTCTAAAAAGCCTCACTTAAAAAAGAAAATAAATGCTCCATGCCAGTGACACAGATCAGTCATTAAATCTTAGTTAACTACTATCACCTTTTGAATTGTCTCTGCCAAATGATGCTTCATAACAAGACATGCTTCAAAAGGATATTGATTAATGTATTGCTGATCCGTTATTCCAGTAGCTTTCTTCATGTCCTCATCTACCTGCACACTTGTCCATATTATATCTGCATCTTTTGGTTCATTTGCTGTAGTCATTCAAACATTCAAAAAGAAGGTCAACAATACAAAGTATAACATTTTATACGTGATGCCAACAATGATAAAATCCAAAAGAATTTTCTGACAGCATAAAAAGGTTAAAATCAATAAGTAAATTTGAATTTAGTCTCTTCAAATGAATTGTCAATATGTTCCAAGTCACATTTAACCATTAATTATGAACTGCAGCAAAGAACAGAATAAATATCGAGAGAAAGCTCAAGCCTGCATGCATTAAACTTACTGATTGCAAACTCGGGATGTGTCAAGTATTCCTCTACGTGAGGTATATCTGTGTAAACAAGCAATGGACGTCCACCATGTCGATGAATACTTTGAGTCCCAGAATACTGAAAGGTGGGAGGCATTAAACTTGTGGACAACAATTTTTGACGGTGCTTCTCATATGCCTGAAAGCAGGAAGGTAATTAGCTCCAAAACTTCCTGATAGTGAGATAGATATTTAACCACAAACAGAACCATAATCTATCTTAGCAATAGGAGAAATACACGGATAAAGTAGTTTTCTGGAGTGTGGAACCAGGCAGTAAGCCTGGCAGAACGTTGCTTATCTTCCCCAATACCAAGAAGATAATCGCGTGTGCACTCATCACCTTTCCGAACATTCTGTGTTGGCCATAGAATAGAAAAGCTGGAGAAAATGTGAGAGTTAATACTTTGATCAATTTTAACACATTACAAATCCAGAAGCCATGCATAAGTCCATGTAATGTGGGGAGAAGAGAATACAGAATTCTCTAACAAAAACCATGTTGGTAATGAACGCGGGATACATCAATACAAGAATCAAAACTTATAAAAGGATCTTTTATCACACCAAAGGTGTTGAATAATATGTGAAGTATAATTATGCAGTAAAGTAGCATATACATTCGTAAAGCATGAAAATACGACTAAATCAAAATACAGATAATAATGAAAATATAGAAGATAACCACCTCACAGCTGATGCTAGATTGCCCTCTGGCATGAACAAAAATGGTGCCACTCTGAAATTTGGCTCATCACTATGCCGCAAAGCTGAACCTAGCTCATCCATCACATACCTGAAAAATATCCAAAAGAATGTGCTGTTCAAGTAAGGTATCATTGGGAAAAACCAACATGGTTCATGTGACACTTGAATTTTACTAAACCCAAAAATTTGAGTAGTCAAACATGGATCCAAGGATTCAAGTTGCGTGACAAAAATTAAAGCATAAACCAGACAACCTTGATGAAATAAAACGAAAAATTAGAAAATGCGCTTATTGACCCAAAGAAAACTAGTGCTAAATTAAAATATAGAAAGTAAAACTATATGCAGGTCATACCATACTGGTGTTTCGTCTAACTTTTCTTCATCTGCAAGTCTATATGTCATTAGATGTTGCCACATTGCATTTATAATACGATCAGCAAGCGGCTCATCAGGAGTCCATTCAGGAAGACGAGGAAGAAGCATTGAATCAATAACATGCTTTCCTGTTTCCAATATTTTGGATGCATCGATACCATTTAGCTCAGAAATGTTTGGAAGAGATTCCAGAATATCAATGGCCCTTCGTCCCAGTGGACCTGGAATATCAACCTGAAAATTGCTCAAATTATCAAAGGCCAAAACACCATTCATAAAGTTTGTAGACAAAACTAAATAAATAACAAAGGAAATTTTGAGGGATAATAAAATATGACAACGAAAATCAAATCTACCTCCAATGAACGCAGGCAAGGGAATCTCTGCAGCAGATCTAACAAGTCACCAACTGAGTTCTGCTCCAATGGATTTCCTTGAATGTTCAAGTACGTAAGAGATGGCAAACAAATGGGTGTAAATGCCTGTGAAAATGGAAAATTCACTAAAACATTTGGAATGAAAAAACAAGCAATGAATTGGTGTAGAATATCAATTATTAACATCTTTAATTCATAAAAACATTCGTTTGGCATCACCTGGGTAAGATATGAAATTCCCAGATTTTTAACTCATACAACCAAATTTTATTCGAGTGAAATAATGCATTAAAGTCCCTTGAGTAATATGACGAAACGCATGCTACAAATAAAAGGATGAAAAAAGCATATAGAAAAATAAGCGTAAGAAATTGTTCAACCTTATTCTTTAAATTGTGAATGTTCCTATTTGAAAGGTCAAGAGAAGACACAGTGTGCAGTGAAGTGTGATCAGCATTTACAGGGTTATCCTTTCCGTATATCCCTGCACAAAAGCCCAACGCCCACTCCCCAAAATTGCTTGTGAAACTTGAATTATAAATTTCAAGTTCAGGCAACTCCTTAAGAATCAAACCTGCAAGCTTACCATCACTGGAAGAGAGGTACAGTAATTTAGTTCTCTTTATAACAAGAACACATGGTTCAATTATCAATTTTTAGATATTAGAAAAGTTACCAATTTTTAAGACCTAGGTTATTGTTGAGCCATATTCCTTTGAGATGCTTAAGTTTGATAACTTCCTGAACAACCACTTCGGCACTATTGAGCTTGTTTCCAAGCAGGCTAAGTGCCACTAAATCCTGACACAATGAAACGGGAAGAGAGTGTGTGAGTATTCAAATTACGAAATGATGACCATAAATGAAAAACAAGAACTGAGATCATAATAGTAATAAAAAAAATTATAATATATAACATTAAAGTTTATATATCCTGACGTTTACCTGATTAATCAATCTGAAGTGATAATCCATACTTCCATACCATAAAGGAAATAACCACTTTAGGCGTCACAATTCATTAGACAATTTCATCTTCGAATAATTTATGAACTTTCATTATTCCTCTTTTGAACTATAGTAACTGTTCAATACTCTTATAATCAGTTTTTTTTTCCGCTGCCACCTTATTATTTTGTACCCTCGGAACCTATATTTTCCTCTAATATTTTATTTTTATTTAAAAATGTTTGGAAAAAAAATTACTTCTATGCCCTACAGTCACCCAGAAATCACAATGAAAAAATAACAAACATTTTTCGGTCAAATATATTACTTGTGAAATACGTCAGCGTCTGTCCTGAAGATCTACCACTTGTTGATTGAAAACTAGAAACTATATTCCAAAGAATTGGTTGCTCAATTGCAATATTGATTTTGGAATCTTTATATTCTATGGTAATTATATTGAGTGTTGCCCAACAAATAAGTTATATATGACAAAGAATATGAACTTTCAACTTATGATTGCCATGAATTTAATTATAATCTTATTGATTAGGGCTGTTTACCCAACAAGTAATTGATGATTATGCAATTTAAATAACTCGAACCATTGAATTAAAATCAAATTACTCTCTGACATAAAGGAAAAGAAAGAATGAAATGATATTAATCTTATAACAAGTTTACCTATAGCAATTCACATCTCTCATCTTACGATTTGGATTACCACGAAAATCAATGTAAAAACTGTTTCCTCTAAACAATAATCTACAATTATCAAAGCAGAAAATTTCCATTTTAGATTGCCCTTCTAGCTAGATATATTCTTATCCTTAAATTTTCTTATGCATCTGCTCACTCTCATATTTTATTTAATATAATTTCTTTCACTCTCTCTCTCTCTCTTGTTTTATTGTTTTTAAGTGTGTATACATACATATATATACATACATATACATGTATAAAATATGATAGGCATTATTAATTTACCAAAGTATTTTCCAAAATGAAAAGGTAAAAAAAGAAAAGAGGGTTACTAACCGGAAACCTAGTTGGCAAGGCTAGAGACACAAGCATAGCATCATCAATGTTAAGCCCTTCAAGCTCCAGCCACCGTAACGTCCCATTTCCTTTCTCCTTTGCCTCACCAACTTCCCTCTCCAAAGTTTCCTCAACACCAAGCTCACCGTTCCCTTCATCTTCACCATCATCTGAACTCACATCAACATCCACACACATCAGAGAACCCATCCTCTCAGACAATCCTGGAACCTCACGCAGCTGCAACACCAAACACCAATGTCGTCAAGACAAACCCTAGAGTAAGGAATGGTAAGAAGAAGAAGAAGACCTGCTTGTATGCGTCGGAGAGTCTGAAAGTCCATGCGTGATCAACGAGGAAGACTTCGGAATCCGTTTCCATCGACACCGATGTGAGAACAAGGCGCCGTTGACGGCCGCCCTCGCATGGCTCGATCTGGAAGTGGTTGCCGCCGTCAAATAACTCGCCGGAGAGCTTCTCGAACAGGCGCCGGTGGAGGCACTCCGGCAATCCCGACGCCGCAAGTAGCAGCGCGTGAACTTTCGCGAACTCTTCGTATGTTTCGATTTTTCTATTGGCAGTGCTGGCCATGGCCACCATTGCTGTGTGGCTTGGTGGTGCTACTCTTGCTGCTTGTGCTTGCTCTTTCGTATTCTCACAAACTCGGAGAGAACGGCATTTAATAATTGGGCTGGGCCTGTGGTTCGTAAGCCCAATTTTTTGGTCCGTGCTATTTGCACCCTAAACCCTAAGCATTCCCTACTTTTGTTATATAGAAAATAACACTCTTAAAAGAATACATTAATTAAACGTGGTAAACTAAATAGTTTTACATGAATTAATCATAAACAAATTGGTAAAAAAAATTTCAATAATAACTTGATTATTGAAAAAACAATTTTTCGTGATGTAATTTTTTATATAATATGAAAAGTATTTTGATATTAAAGTCTTTATGAGCGTGCACTTACAATTTGATTGTAGAAAATAATGTCTTCTACACCCTAAATTTTCAACTTAATAATTAAGTAAATATTTTACTAATTATTTAAGTGAATATGTTGTTAAGGCATAAATACAGTTCTATAATAAGACATAAGTTTTAATATTTATGTCAAGCTATTAAATGAATAAAAAAACTTATTTTAAATTTAAGAAAATATATTTAAATTTTTATGTTTTATTTATTTCTTAAAGTATATGTTATGTGTAAATAAACATAACATATAGTTAATTCTAAATATCTGATTTATAGATATCCTTTAATCCACATACAGATAAACATTATGAGTCATGAGACTGTGACCCCATCCTATCCTCTCTTTTTTATTAGGGATAACATCAGCGTGGTTATAAGTTTAAGTATATGATTATGAAATGATGTTTAGCTTTTATGGAATTAATACAAAGTTTACAGTCAATTATATTTATTAGAATTACATCATAATGATTATCATTTATCTGTTTCAAAATAAATATTGCGATAAAGATGGTAACTTTAATTTTTTTAAATAGGTGAAATAAAAAAAGGAAAAAAAATTAAGGTGATTATCATCAACAAGTACGTATTTTACCTGTCATGTTAACTGATATTAAAATTATGTTTATTAATTGTATCCAAATAAGCTTATCCTAGATATTAAGATGAAGATTTTATTAAAAAAATACTTTTTCTTTGTTCATTGTATCAATACCATATCTTTTATACTATTAACAATATAAAAGTATTCAATAATTAATTAGCTGAAAAGCCCAGCCTTGAAAATGATCATGTATAAAAACAAAATTAAAATGAAAATGTTGTTTTTAACATTTCTGATTTATCATTCACACTTGTTTTCACATAATTTGTTAAGAATGATCTTTAAAAAAAATTACCACATTTTAAAAATATTTTCAAAGTTTTATTAAACATAAGCAACCCTTCTTATTTTCAATCTGTTAATTTTATGGATTGTTTTATGCATCACACTTTATGAACTCTCATCTTGAAAGCAAATTTACTTTTTTGTTATTATAGACTATTTTAACCCTTTTTAGTGTCTTTTAAATTTAAAATATTTTATGTGTTTCCAAGTAAAAATAGAAGTTTAGTTATTGCCTTATTAGTTTCATTTTCCATTTCACAATCATGAAAACATCTCAAAGAGTACACTTTTTCACATGTAGTCAACAAAAGTAAACAAAGAAAATAGCAAATTTTGATTCTTTTTCAAATAACAATATTTCATTTGTTTATAGCATATCCACAAAAATAAGTTTCTTTTTCATTAATAACATGTTTAGTTCTTCACAAATAATAAATTTTCACTACTTTATTAATGCATGTAAATACTTTTTAACTAGTGGATGAAATTTAATCCAATTTATATACATTTATCATCACATAGAAAATTATTAAAAAATAAAATAAAATAATACATGGGAAATTATACTAAATTCATGAAAAAAATATATTTATTATAGAAAAAATTAAATAAATACATAGTTAAAACCTTAAATCATTTATATTGTTCTAAAAATAATCTTACTAGCAATCACCCCAAGCTAAAAATTTTGTAATGATTTTAAAACGAAAATTAGTCAATATTATAGGACAAAAATCAAGTATGTGTCCTTCCTTGTCGCTGCATTATACCTCTTGTAAACCATAACATGAAAAAATGCAGTATTTTTATCCTCGTCTTTAAACCTTTTCATTTTAACATTTTGCTTCTAATAAACAACTAGATAATCCATAGTAGAATTTAAATCATCTTTTATTTGGCCTCATGAATTAGTAATGTATCTAAATCAGATGGAGAAGCATTCAAATCTTGTTATTAAACATTATCTAAATCAGAATCCAAAAACATTTTTATTCCATTCTTTTATTAAACATTATCTAAATCAAATTCCAAAAACATTTTTATTCCATTCTTTTAATGAAACTTTAAGACGTTGTAATTTCTTTTGCAAAAACAACACAGGACAACCAAAAGGAGGAGAATTCCAAGAGCTATTGATGAGAGAATGACAATCCATATAAAACATCCACATCTTTAGCAATCAAAAAGGTAATGGTTTGGAAACTTCAACTAAATGAGAAAGAAAAAGAAGCAAGGGATGATGATTCGAGCATATTCAAAGTAAACATTAATACAACAAGAATATCAATTCTAAAGAAAAGGAAAATTACAAAAAGCTCTATCAAGTTTTCTATCAATATGATGCATACCTCTTTGAAAGTTTGACCAATTATAGTAAATTCTGGAAGATGAGTTGTAACAAGCTCATTAAAATTGATTCAATATAGAAACTCAACACAAGAGATTGGACTAGGGGCAACGCCACCCTTCACATCCTCAACACAAAGAACAACATTAAAGTGATTAAGAATACACCAAGACTCGTGAAGATTAACACGAATACACCAAAAAAAGAACGACAAGCAAATGAAATAAATTGAATAGTAATATCAATAATATCAGACGCGAAATCACTTCTACCCAATAACCATAATCTAGCAACCTCTGAAGAAGACTCAAAGACAACCAATAACTTGAAGTTCAAACTAAAAAATAAAATAAAATAGCATGATAAGAACTAAAAGAAGTCTTTGGTTTAGCTAAGAAAAGAAAATTGGGTAGGTGTTACTAACCAAATTTAGTAGCATATTAAGAGTTTTATCATTAATCAACCCCCTCAAATTCCAAAATAGACCTTTAAAACTCATGATTGTCTTTTAGAGTTCTTTGTTTTAGATTATTTGGCATTAGCTTTCTTTGGAGGTCTTCTCATACACGGTTTCCTAGTAGTTTGAACTAACACATTATCTTTTTTAGTAGTAGAATCTTCTCACTCTTCCACCACATTAGCTAAATAAATGTTAATTTCAATTCTTTCACAAGTGAAGCTTCCTTGACGCAAAATAATTGGAGATTATTCGAGAAATTTTATGATGTGAATCAATTTGTTGTAAGTCTTGAGAATTATTTTGAATGGGACTAACATCCTTTAGATAAAGAATATCAGACAAGAAATCAAAGTTCGCTAGCATAAGACCAATAGTAATATCAAGATTATTAATATTAACTACTAAGGGAGAAGGTAAACACGATGCTACAAATTGGACTGTAGGAGTAGATTGAGTAATAGATGATACCACAACAGGTTGCATTGCAACATGATGAGTCACATCAGGTTATACAACTACAGGTTACACCACATTAACAAGTTACATCATAGTAATAGGTTGTACCATGATAGCAAATTGTATCATTTCATTAAAAGGTTGTTGAATTACAAAATGTACCATAGGCTTCTCAAGCTGCTCCAACTCAAGTGTTAAGTTTTATAAATCATATAAAACATCAACTATCTTAAAACGATAATATTGTTGGATATATATTTTAAATATTCAATAATATAATATATTCTAAAAATATAAAACAAAAATATTTTATATAAACACATAAATTAGCATTTTAAAAAAGTATTTTCACAAAAAAAATTGTGCGATGAAGTGTTACAGGAATAATTTTGTTTTGTAAACATTAAATTTGATAATATATAAAGTCCTTTGGTAAGACAAAACCTTATATAACAAAAAGAAAAAATGTTTAAGGTGTATGTCTTGTCATTCCTTGCTCTATCCAAACAAACACAATTACAATTAATTCAATAAAAAAAAATCCCATTCAACATTTTTATAAGAAAATATTTCTTTAAGTCTAGGTTTTTTAATCGCACCAAAGATTCCTGACCATGTTAACATAAATAAATAAATAAATTTACTTCCTTCGTAAAATCAATACCTCCAAAAAATTTAAAATAAAATATATCTTACATATATTTTTATCATCTTTCTAAAAAAAATGCAAAGTTCAAGAATAATAAGTTTCAAATAAGAAACTTCTCCGCACAAGGGGAATAATAATATTTTTACAGTTGTTAAGATAAGATATAATTTTTTTTTGTAATGAATTGTTTGATCAAAATGAAATGATATGTTTGTTTGTGCGAATTGTTTATTGAATGAAATAAATAGATTTATATTTCTTATATGTTTGTTTAATGTTTTTAAACAAGTGGTTTTTTAGTTATTTTAGTAAACAACGTATTATCCACTTTTTAAGTAAATGATTATTTTAAAAATTGCTTATATTTTATGTTTAAACAAAGTTGTTCAATAATGTTATAACTTTAATTTCCAAATCTAATTTATTTTTCTTAAAATCCAAATATTTCATCTAATAAAAAAGTTTTATGGCATATTCTACTTTTTCAAAAGTTATTATTTTAAAATTCATTGTGTCCCAATTGTAGCTGTGACAATCTTGAAACCTAAAACTTTAAGTTTGCCAGCTTTGACCCAACTCATCAACTATGAAACTAACCACAATTCAGGAACTTGAATATCCCTTTGTCTAAGTATTTTCTATCCACAAACCAAACTCATATTTTCATAAATTGGAACAATACTTAGTTTTTTTAGGTGTAGTGACTAAAATAGCTGTTTATTACTAATAAAGAATTTGTTTAGGTATAAAAAGTAAAAGCTTCTAAAAAGTAAGAGATTAGAAATATATTTATGTTATGTTGACTCAATTGAAAATGTATTTTGTATTCTTAAAATCAAATAATCAATTGGGTAAAATGTATTTTTAATTCCTCAGTTGTTCTACAGATTTTTAGTTTTAGTTTTTAATTTAATTTATTAATATTTTTAGTCACTGTTATAAAAAAAAGTAACCCCATTAATTATCATGTGACTTGCTAGACAGATTATAAATAAAAGGTGACAATTATATGTGTTTTTTTGGTTATTTATTTTCTTACAAATTCATTTTTAAGTCTATTAACATTTTATTGATAATTTTTAGTTTCTAAACACATTTTTAAGTAGTCTTAATCTTTCAAGAATATTTTTTAACAAAATGAGTCCTCCAACATTTTTTATTCTGTAAAAGATAGAGGAAAACACAAAGTTTAGTGACATGTTTATCTTAACCTTGATATAATTACCATCACCTAATCCTAGCTAAAAACAAAAATGTCTAAAAATTAAAAAAGGAGAAAAAATGGTGTTATCTTAATCATAAAAGTGAAAAGAAAAGTAAAATGGATAGACATATTCATTGTCCTTACTCATGACTCCAGTCATAGCATACCCCACCACACATCTTCCAATACCATCATCAATCCAAAACTGAGTCTTTGGCTTAGAAGCACCATGAAATTGTCCTCTCCTTACCACTAATGCCAATTCTCAAACTTTGAGAAACAAGAAGCACAAACAAGTAATTTTCAAACCACAATTTTTCACTTCTCTCTTTCATTTCAGTTTTCTTACATGTTGCATCACTGCCATATTGGAACATCAAAAGGGGTTTCTTCTTTTTGAACCCTTAGACTTAAAGATTTTTTCTTTTCTTTTCTTTTCATTCTTTCGGGGTTTTCATAAGCCCTTGAATCTAGAAGAGAAATATGTCTCCCATGTCAACTATTCCAATTCATAGACCTGAATTTGGGACCTTATTTTTCAATGGGTCTCCAAGCCCTTATAAATGTTTGAGAGTTGCCTCATCATGGACCATGTGAGTTTCAATTTTCTCTTTTGATTTATTTTATTTTGGGAATATTTTTTTATTGTATGATTCTTAGCTTCTAATGTTTTATGTTTGACATAAACAGGGCCATGGATTCAAAATTTTCTCCGACAAAGAAGAATAGTATTAATAATGATTATAGTATGAAGAAGAAGGAAGAACTCTCTATGCAGCTTTCAACTCCACCCATTTCCAAAGTGGAAATTTTAAACTCCAACGATCTCCAATTTGATCGGTTGCAGCCATCGGATCAAGAATTGGGTCGAGTAAATAGGTTTGAGTTTGGGCAATTTGTTGCACGAGAAGCTGTGCTTGATGAAGAGTATTGGGTATGCTATGATAATTTGTATGACATAAAAAAAATAAAGAAAACATGTGAAGTGTCTGTATTTTCATCTATGATTTATGATGCTGGTATCTTTCTCAAATATTTATTTATTTGTTTTGTTTAATTGCATGGTAGACAGCAGCATGGTTGAGAGCAGAAAGTCACTGGGAGAATCGATCATATGAAAGGTATGACTGACACCCATAAGGGAAAGGTCAAATGTTCTTTTATAGACATCTTTTAGTAGTTATAAACACGGAATGTGAAACCGTATTTTGGTTTCACTGGCTTCAGCTTTTACTTTTTGGCATGGTGTGTTGTGTAGCTAAGCATGTTAGCATATTGAGTAACATTTGAATTAGGGACAATTAATCAGATCAACAAGTCCGATGTTGAGCATTTATTTAAAGATAATTGAATATTAGAGGAATAAATCTATCTAACCATAGATTATGGTGGATCTAAATTTTTTGCTTTTGTTCAAAATAGATGATGAGTGCAAATGATTTTCCTTCTGTTTTATCCAGATATGTTGATAACTTCAAAAGGAAATTTGCTGAGCAGGTAGGAGTTGATATAACTGCTGTGTATGTACTGTATAACTAGAGTGTAGTTCATAAAAAATCTCAACAGGACTTCCTATTGTTTAGGAATTTCATGCATTAAAGAGACGGTGCAAGGTGCAAAACGGTGATAGCTGCGCATGCATCATCACGGTAAATCAACCTCATCTTAGATTCTGGTTTAGTTTAGAATTCAGGTTATAATATATACTTGAAAGCTCTGATTTAATGACTAAAATGAGAAGAAACCTGTTAGATTACAAATAGTTTGATGGTTGATTGTCCTTAATGTTTCAACTTATGGTGTTTGGAGTCAAGTTTAACAGGTGAGGAAGGAGCAGAAGAATGCAAAACACTCAATATTAAAAAGTGTTGTAGGAACCCTTGATTTGAACATCCGATATTTGCTTCAAGGGGAGACTTACCCTGGGGTATTGCACATTCTATCTCATTTTGTTGCTTTGTCTACTTGACTAGTGGTGTTGATGCATTGTGCAACTTGATTATTTCTTCAGGAACGGGTAAAGGCTCCCCTTTTTTGCTGCATCAACAGAACACCACCAAGCAGATATGGTTACATTGCAAACTTGTGCGTTATCAAATCAGCTCGGCGCCAGGGAATTGCAAGCAACATGTTGTCATTTGCTATTGGAGCTGCAAAATCTAATGGTAATACAATCAAACATTTTTTTGAGAGTAGCTTTCATTTGTCTGATGTAATTCACAAAAAGTGACTGAAAGTTCACAATTCCTGGATTCATTTAGCAGGTGTGACACAGGTATATGTGCATGTGGACAAAAATAATAGTCATGCACAAATATTGTACCAAAAGATGGGTTTTGAGGTAATATTGCTAGTTCATGTGCATTTTCCACCATCTACATTGGATCGAATAAGTCACTAATGTGGTCCTCAAAATATTAACCTATCCCAATTAACTTCTAAAGTAATGGAACTATATAGGTTATAAGAAACAATTGGTTGATAGCTGGGTTTCTTAGTATATTGTCAAGGGTTCTATGTCTGACTATGTATGAAAAGACTTTGTTTGAAGAGATAAGGCTCACTTTTGTTATCTCTGCATCTAAAAGGGAAATAGCTTCCAACTACGAGTCTAGGATATCCTTGGTTCAACAAATAAGAAACATTGTACAAGTTATTCTCCAATTATTAAATATCTGAGTTTAGCCTGCATTTTGATATATTTACTTATAGAATCAATTTTGATGGATTTCTTAATATTTGAAAAACTACTTTGAGGATTACTTATGTAATCTTTTACATTTAGGAGAGAGGATATTCTTTTAAGGATGAAATTGATGGTTCATTCATGATGTATTTTTTCTACTTGTGAGAAGCAATAACTGGCAGTTTCCATGCTCTTCTCAGATGGTTGAAATGGCAAACTCCCAGTTGGTGGAACAAACATACTTACTGCGATTACAGACCTAAAATACTAAGGGTAGCTTCAGAAAAGTTGTGAATTTCAGAATTTAAGTAGATAATGTAACCATCATAGAGGTGTAAGATGTAAATGCATGTAGGTGTCCATGTTTGTACCTAACTAAGGTAACAAATTTCGATTATTTCTCCCTCTTCATTTTCAATGTGTGGATATTTAATTCTGTAGCTTGTATAGGTATCATATATTCTTCCTGAAATTATATGTATTGAAGAAAAAGAAATTTGGGGGTAATTTAAAAAACAAACTCAGATGTATTGGATTTGAAAAGGGTGAAGTTATTTCTTATTGCAACATTATCAGTCTCTACCTTTTTGGTTTAAAATTTAATTTTGTGGTTAAAAGTTTGCTTCTCTATTGAAGTGTGTTCCTTTACGCTGATTTACTTAATTTATGCCTCGAAGAAGTGTTACCATCTGTATAAACTACTTTTGTCTCCCTGAGAAGTTATTTTTGTGGTTGTGTGTGTTTATGAAGCACGTCCCACGGTACGAACTGCAAATAATACAATAGACAAGTGAGGTTAAGAGGACAGAAACAAATGAAAGGGTAAAGTTTGAAGACAAAAGAGAATGATCAGGAAAGGTCGAGTTTTAAAAGATTGAGAAAGGAAATGAAGAGTTGGAGTTCTGGAATAAAGAATGAAATGAAGGATGATGGATAGGGTGTGTGAATTTAGCTCACTTTATTCCCCACCTTACAATAGGATAGAGGTGAATAGGAGTTTAAAAGAGAAAATATTAAAATTCAACATTTATGATTTTATCAGATAAGGTTAACGGAGCACAGTAGCTCATCCATTTTTTATAATTTTAATTTGTATATAATTCTAAATAATTTGAGTATTAAATTATTAATTATATTTTAATTTAAACATTACATAAATATATTACTCAATATCGAAGATGGGATCTTGTATTTTGAGTCTAAGTATAGACTTTCTTGCTTCTGTTGTAAAAGGTCAGGTGAAGTGATCGAAATAGATATTTTCCATGAAACCTTTATGTCTAGATTTTTTAAAATTTGAAATGAACTTTTAATGATGCAACGAGAGAGCCTTTGTATTTGACAATTCGCGAATTTGCAAAATGCATAAGGCTGAAATTAAATATTAAATACTGAGCATTAGTTAAGGATTTAACAGATATACAGATAATGTCATGCCCCTAGCAGAACGTGGACTGATGATGAAAACAATCCTGAGAAAAGGTAATGCTCCACGAACTCCGGGCACTTACATTAGATGCAAATCTTCCACTCCAGTCTCAAAACTATATAGGCTTGGCAAAAAAGATCTACTTGAAATATCTTCGTAGGCTTAGTTATGATATAATATGCCTGCCACTATATTTTGATTTTGATACTAATTTTATACCAAATCCCAAGAGACTGATGAATAATTCAAAGCACCCTGATGAGGATCTGGAACTTTGACATGTTCTAAAACCGGAGACATTTTTAAACCAATTATCTGCATCTGTAGGTTTGAGTGACCATTAAGAAATGCATCTGTTACCTGCAAAAATGCAAAAAGCATTTCTTTATAAAAACCCACGTGAAAGATGAATAGTGACCTAGAAAATTTATACGTCCACATACAAATTTATCAGTGATATATATATACCTGAGTGCATCCAAAAAGTTTGAGTAACCTCAGGGCCAAGCAGCTATCCACAATCAAACCCAGTGCATTGTCTGTCAAATTTCTGCACCAAGATAAATCTAGAGAGTGCAGATTTTTCGCATGGTTTGCAAGTGATAAGGTTGTGTGGTAACCAACCTGTATCAAACAAATGAGGTATTCAGAATGCAGAAATTAGACTGACAACAGAACCCAAATATGCATTTATGAACACTAGCATTGAATAAGAAAAAAAAATGATATTTTGATGATACATCAATTAAGTTCTGCAGACTACTGCTAAAGCTCAAAAATAGGTTTGTTATTTTTAATAATCACAGCACCTCTTCCAGCACGTCGCAATGTTCGAGAACTATTGGTATGAACAAGCCTAACTGTCTATATAAAATCATTGAGTTCCAGAAGACAAAGTACCTTCTTGATGTTATTAAGTGACAGTTCCTTCAGGGACCCTCCTGTGGTTTCCACAAATGCAGCAATTGCTTCATCACTACAACAAAATCCAGAGTATTATTCGATCCCAACGAGAACCATCCAAGCATACCATACATGACAATACCAAGGAATAATTAATCTCCAATACAGAATATCATGGAGCAATGGAAATGAATATACAAAACATAGTACTGAACATGTGATAATCTACTTGTTACAAAAGATATCCTAAGAGAGTAATGCCCACAAACTGCAGTAACTTATTTTTAAAATATATCTGCAATTAGGTTAGTTATTACTTTTACATGTTTCATTATTTTTTCTGTTAACTGTCACCCAGCCGTTACTTCAATTGTTCCCTATGGCTAGTATAGGTTTCCCCACATGGAACATTTTACTTTTAATTAGTTTTTGTTTGCGGGAGATTTGAGTCCACCACCTATCCCCTTCCTCCCTTCCACTTTTACTACCAAGCCTACTTTATAGCTCCATTTTCCACGTGGATGGCTTACCTGTTCTGTATACCAGTGAATCTACCTTATTTACATCAGAATACAAAATGAAATATTTGTAACCAATACTTATATAAAGTAGGGAATCAGTCAACAAAAGAGAATTGTTTTTCAACACAGGTAATGTTGAAATTTCAATTTCTGGGAAACAAAACAACGCTTCAGAGCATTGGAACAAAGACAATCATTAAAAATTCAAAACTACTTAAACTTGATTCTTGCATGGACGAGACTGATCATAGACAAACAAGCAGGTGCACACAATCAAAAGTGAGTGTAGCACAAGTCTCTTGTGGCAAGGAACTATAGAAAATGGAGCATAGAAAAAACACCTGAATGGATTTCGGCAAAGCTTCAGGGTATGAAGTACGCGGCAACTATTGGTAAGATATCCAACGGATAAATCTGTTAATCTGTTCAGGTTCATAAGATCAAGCACCTGCAATCCCGGACAATGCTCAACAATAACTTTGATTGATGAATCGGTCAAGTTTCTGCACATTAGAAACATAAATCAACGGACAAAACTTTTGAAAAGTAAAAAAAAAAGGGAATTGCTATATCAGAAAAATGCGTGCCATTTCAAATATAGAACTAACTGGGTCCCATTTCAACCATGTCCAAAGAATGATTAACAAGTTTTGGAAACTTGATCAATTAACCAAAACTAACATCACATTCCGATTTGGTTTAATTTTTTCTTTAACAAGAAATTTGATCACCTAACATTCTAAAATAAAATTTTCAATGAAAAATACTAGAACGTCTGAAGCAGACTCCTGACATGAAACAGATAGCTATAGTGATACTTACATACAGTCCTTCAAAACAAGCTCTTTCATGTTTTGGCCACGTGCAACAATATAATTCTTGACAAATTCATCACACACAGTTTGAATACCAGCCACTGACAACACTTCTAAATGTTCAAACTCAATTAGTGCTGGCACAATTAGTGCAGCATCAATGCATTGGCAATCATCAAGGAACAACTCTTTCAGAAGATGTCTTAATGATTCAGCCAAAATATATATACTAGCAGATGTGAGAAGGGAGCACTGGCTGAGATTTATCGACCTAAGAGCAGGAGCTGAAGAAACGAGCGCACGTAAACCTCCATCTGAAAGTCGGCATGCACCACGGAGTGATAGAGTAGTTAATCTAACCAAATTCCTAGGTGACCGTGCCAAAGTCGCAACTACTACAAAATCAGGCAAACATCGCCCACACTGGTCAAGTTGCAGTACCTACAACACAAGTAAATAAACAACTAGATGTTGGTTAATATAGGATTTGAAAAACAAAACCAGACAACGAAGCTAATCAATTTTCAAAAAGAAAACAAGAAATTAAAAGAACAAAGTGTTAGCCCGAAAATACACAATTAAAATTGAGCACAGCAAGAAAAAAACTTATATAGGAAACAAAAACAAGTCAAACAAATAACAAAGGTGAATTACATGTACCAAATGACACCAAAAACCCTATCATAATATTACAAACCATGTTTATAGACAAACTATCAACATGTATATCTTTCCTTAAGAATTGCATAATATCTGTCCCAATCTCTATATCTCAGGCAATCCAGTTCTTCACACATGCTCAAATCACCTAGGACAAGTTACTACCATCTTCTACATTAGTTTCTACCCGAACTCTATCCTTAATGCATTCATTCTTAAACCCTTCTCGTCTGATATATCCATTCATCTAACACAGCACAATCAAAATATACAAGTGTATCATATAATTTTAATGAAGATTTCAAAAGGAAAGCAAAAATATTAGACATCCTGCGGTTAAATTCAAATCATATGACCTAATTTAGATTCTCCAGAACACTAGTAATATATATTAGTACTAGCTTCAGGACACTGTCACCTCATCCTCGCTTTTACGTCTACGTCGAAGAAGTGATTGCTTAACATGTTAACTAATATAGAAAAGAAATTCAAATACATGTAATAGTACTGGTACCAGTAACAAACACGGGCACATAAAGGGGTAAACAATTTCAGCCACTAAATCAAAATGAAAATCCAGCAAAGGAAAATTAGTTAAATTACACACACATAAAGTCCATTCAGTAGAAAAAAATGAACATACAGTAGACAATGCAGTCCATATGATCATACAATGAACTGAATGCTGTAAAGCAAAATACAGGTACCGTTCAATCAGATTTCTCTTATCATACAACCATCTTAAATAATATTATCTTACCTTAAATATCAACCCACAGACCTCCAACAAGAATAGAAACAAGAAAGCCAGTTAACTTCATGATAATCATATAAAATCCAATTCTCAAGTTTCATATGCACCAAAAATAGCAAGTAATACGAAAAGCCATCAGATAACTTAGACCACATACCAACAAATTCTCCGTGTTACACATTCGAAAACACTCCGTAAACTGTTCCTCAGTCAACCACGAGCAGTCCCTTAACCGAATCTCCGTGGGAGTTCCACGCACAAGAAGCTCCAGAAAGTGACCGTTAATTCTCCTCGAGTCACAGAGCAACTGACTAAGCCGGTGCCTCAGCGCATCAGGCACACTCTCGAGCGATGCAATCGCGTCAACATTCTTCACAAGAATCTTTAAGCACATATCTTGCAACGAAGGAACCGATAAAATGCCCAAATCCCCTTTCTTCGCATTGGGAACCCACTTAATAGATTCACACAAGTTCGTCTGCGAACTTGTTTGAGCGTTCTGAACATTCATCCCTCGGTCTCTGATGATTTTCATAGCCGTGGAGAAAGGACCGGGCCAGTCCTCAATTTCCTCACGCGCCGCTTCGGGAACCGGCGGCCACCGGTCACCATCTTCCTCTTCCGGTGCGAAGAACGCAAACCGCGACGCGTTTTCCCGCGCAATGTCGTGGAAGCGCTCCATATGATCGTTCCTCCTCAAACCGGAACGGCGCTCCGTTGCATTGGAGTTTCTAGAACGCTCTCGAACTCGCGCAGGTGCATTATTCACACCGGAGTTCTCCGTTCTGGATTCCGGTGTTGTCACGTCACCATCAACCGCCACTGCCACACCACCATCGTCGTCGTCATCATTATCAGCATCATCATCATCATCTGCGTTAATAACTTGTTCTCTGGAATAGAAATTGAGTGTTCTCTTTAAAGTCTTCTTTCCCGACCTTAAGTAGAGAAACTCCTCGTGTTCGAAACCGGTTGAGTCTCTATTGCGCTTCCGGCTCCGGGTGGAAACCCCAACACCGGAATCATCTGCTACAATATTGACATCGACGGCTGAGTTTTCCGTTGTTGTAGTTTCTGGCGCGGTGACATTGACATCAACCGCCACTGCAACATGATCAGTTTCATCGTTTGCGTCATTGCCTTGTTCCTCTGCGTCGTCTGTCATCGCTCTCTTGAGAACTCTCTTTCCCGATCTTAAGTTAAGAAAGGTCTGGCGGTTGGAGGCGGCGGAAACCCTAGCGGCGGGGGAGGCGTCGGAGAGAGAGGCGAGACGGAGGCTGCGGCGGGGGAAAGGGGGAGAGGTAGAAACGGATGAAGGTTCGTGGGTTTTTGCCGGCGTGAGTGGGTGGATGGCGTCGGCTTTAGAGGGGTTCGGAGTGGTTTTGGTCTGAACCATTTTGATGAGAAATACGAAGCACTAAATACGATGATAGGATTTGGAAGTGGAAATGAAGTGACTGAAAATCTGTGTGAGGAAGATCCAGAGAAAGTGGTTGGAGCAGAGTGAGAGGGAAAAGGAAGAGATTTGGAGGGAAAACGGTGCTGTCTGTGCGAGAGAGGCTATTTATTCTGCAACCAGAACGTTGGTGGGCCCCGCAGTAACATAGAGAAGACTTTTCCCAAACTTCTCTCACACACCACTTCACCGGGTTTCACGTTACATTTTCCCGCCAACCTATACCAGTCTTTATATTTTCTCTTTCTTCTTTAATTACAAAAATTATAATTACTCACTCTTTCTTTTTTTCATATTTTTTAATGATTATATTATTCCTTTGTAAAGCACTGAAAATTTATGGAATTTGACAGTTTTCAACTAATATTTTCTATATTTTTTCATGTTAACTCACTTCTTTAATGATTTAACACTTTTTAATTAAGATCACGTCAATGAATGTAAGTGATTTAACTATCATTTCTTTCTCGAGTTATTGCTTAGTTTTTAGTTTTAAGCCATTGCAATAAAATAATATATTTATTGGCTTAATTACCTACTTAGTCCCCATGTTCGGAAGTAATTTACTGTTTAGTACCCGGTTTTAAAAATGTAGGCATTTGATACCTATGTTTTGAAATTTGTATCAATTGAATCCTACACACTTAACGCCGTTATAAATCTAACGTTTTTCTGACATCAACTTTGAATTGTGGACGAGCGGTAGTGGACGAGCGTCCTCTTAGTGGACGAGCATCGTTGGACGCTCGTCCAACAGTGGAGGACGCTCGTCCAACAGTGGAGGACGCTCGTCCAACAGTGGAGGAGGCTCGTCCAAACAGAGGAGGACGCTCGTCCAACAGTGGAGGACGCTCGTCGAACAGTGGAGGACGCTCGTCCAAACAGAGGAGGACGCTCGTCCAACAGTGGAGGACGCTCGTCGAACAGTGGAGGACGCTCGTCCAAACAGAGGAGGACGCTCGTCAAACAGTGGAGGACGCTCGTCCAACAGTGGAGGACGCTCGTCCAACAGAAGAGGACGCTCGTCCAACGATGCTCGTCCACTAAGAGGACGCTCGTCCACTACCGCTCGTCCACAATTCAAAGTTGATGTCAGAAAAACGTTAGATTTATAACGACGTTAAGTGGGTAGGATTCAATTGATACAAATTTCAAAACATAGGTATCAAATGCCTACATTTTTAAAACCGGGTACTAAACAGCAAATTACCTCCGAACATGGGGACCAAGTAGGTAATTAAGCCTATATTTATTATATTAGAAATAAAAATGCTATGACCATTTCAGTAAATGTGTTTTAGTTTTAAGGTAAAATACCTATTTTTCTCCGAAATATTCAAAATGGTTCTAATTTTTTTTTCTGTTTAATATTGTCTTAAAAATCGTAATTTGTGTTCAATTTAGTTCTTTTTGCAAACGTAGTTTAAATTGTTAACAGTTAGATGTCTAGCAGTGCAATTAGTGAATGATGTGGACACTTTAAGTGCTGACTTGTCTTGACTGAAACATGACGCAACCAATGAAGGGCTGTCGCGTGACAACCCCTTTCCCACCCAAAATTAGGGTTTCAGATTGGGGGAAAGGGGAAAACCTAGTCCTTTCTTCCTCTGCGCCGCTCACTTGCGTTCATGGTTGCTTGTGAATGAAGAAGCGGCGCTGCTCAAGAGTTGACGGTAATGGCGCATTGGATTCATGAAGCGCAATGAAGATGATGATAGGTCTGTTTCATGGTTTAGACGAGTTAGAATTCTGTTGATTTTGGAATTTGCAGGTGAAAGATATTGGCATTGCGGTGATTTTTTCGATTACGGAGACTTTCGTGGCTAGGCATTGAAGAAGACAAATATGGTCTTCTACGATGGCGGTTTTTGATGCGTCTAATGATGGTGATGCGCGTGACGCTCGTGAGGTTGAACAACGGTTCAATTTAGGGTTCGAACGACAGCGCTGATGGGCCGCCATGGTGATGGTTTAAGAAGGAGAGGCAGTGACGTTGATGGAGATTCACGGTGGCGGAAGGGGAAGATGGTCCTGGTGGTGTTTCTGGGTGGTTGTTGGACGGAGAAGATGGTGGTGGTCCACGTCATTCACTGATTGCATTGCCGAACATTTAATAGAAAAAAATAGGACCATTTCGAATATTTCAACCAAAATTGGTACCATAGTTATTATACCTAGTTTTAATTATCTAAAGTCTGGTTTTAGAAGTACTGTTTCCAATATTATTATTTTAAGAGCTTAAGTTATAGTTTTCTTACAACCATCGTGTTCATAAATCAATTTGGTCTACTGCCTTCATTTAATTTTGAGAGTTGTAGAAGGGTTTTAGGTTTAAAATTCTTCTTAGGTTATGGATCTGGTTAAAAGTCTTTGAAGACTTTTTTTCTTTTAAAATCTTTTTCAGGATATTTTTCTTTTCTCACTTATTATTCCATTTCTTTAAAATAGCTTATATTATACCAAATATATTAAAATTGATTTATTAAAATAAATAACATGTAATTTAAAACATTAAAATTTTATTTTGTGTTCTCTGATGTGCCAACCCATCGTCTCTGACAAGTAGAGGCTATGTTCATCGTTTCATTTTAATTATGACAGAATAGAAGCTGAACAAGTCAAAAGACAATGTACTGTTTCACCCTTGTGATATGTCTAAAATTTATGTAAAAATATTAGAGAAAATAACTCTTTTCTTTCTCAACTCAAGCCGTTATTTCCATGATTTTATAGTGTCTAAAAAATTTAAACAAATAATTAAAACTAAGTTGTTGGTTTGATTTGATGGTAATTTTTTCTATGCAAATGAACACAATCATAGGATGAATCAAAGCCATACGAGCCATACGAATTTGTCATATATAAATTAATATAAGAGACCAAAATTCTATGTTAAATATATTAGGACTTGTTATTTTGAAACGATGAATTTTGGAAAGAGTAAGTAAATGGGGTTTTGATAGAATTTGCTGAATTTGGAGACAAAATTTATATTATTTCTTTTAGAAAATTTTGAAATAAATGAGTGAACAAGTCCAGTCATGCGAACACACGTTTAGTGCCGTCAAAATAGGTTGAAATTCGTGAGTCAATCTGACTCACCATGGATTTGAGACGGGTTGGTTTGGAAAAAAATACAAAATTTTTCATGCGAGCCAATTTTGACCTGGCTCATACGGGTTGAACCCGTGATAGGTCGGGTTGGCTCACCAACCCACCAATTTTTTTAATTAAATTAATTATTCAAATCCTATTTTTTTATTGAAATCAAATTAATTAAATTAATTATTCAAAATATCCAACCTTTACTTAGTAATAGAGTTTTTCTCAAATTGGATAATATTATGGATAGAGATAAAGAAAAAGATGCTTCAAGAGAGCATAATACTATGGATTTATCCATTTAGGACTCCAATTTAATAGATGAATAATATTATAGATTAGATAATTCGGGAATATATCAATTGTTTTATCTTGTTTTTAAACCTATCTACAAGCATGACAGTTTTATCCTGTGTTGTATATTTTTTTTAACGGCTATATTTAGTTTATTGGTCAAACGGCTGTGTATGTCTCATTAAACTAAATATTGACAAAATTTTATGCTTGATAGCTTAGAATATATATAACAATATATTTCTTTTGTTTTATTTTCTTTTATATCTATTGGTCCATTTATTATTGTTCCAATTTGATCAGTCAAACTACATGTTATAAGAATATGAAAAAAAGAGGATGAAAAAAAGTTAATTAAGCGAACCCACCAACCCGTGGTGGGTTGGGTCAGGTTCGAATTTTTTCGGTTCGCTAATAAATGAGCCGAGTTGAGTTGACTCACTAAGTGACCAACCCGTGGTAGGTCAGGTCGGATCGGACCGGCTTACCCGTTTTTACAGTTCTACACACGCCCAATGTTTTTTTTTTCCTCTTTACATATAATTTATATTGTTATCCAACTTTAAACTTTTCATTAAGAGTTAACTTCCCACACAGCATAAATATACCATTTTGCAGTCGCCATTACAGCCACTAAATGACCATAGAATGTTAGTTTTGGCAAGATTATAAGATATTTCCTTATTAATATAAAATTGACATTAAATTTTATTTAATCTTAAAATATAAAAGAAATTTAATATCTATTTATTATTATAATTTCTTTTTATCTGTGGATATATAATTTCAACACTTCCCAAAAGAAAACACCAAATGCAAATAAGGTTCTCCCGTGACACAGATCACAAATGCAGGGAGCGAAAGGAGTTGACAGAATGCATAAAAATGTGATTTTTTTTCTAGAACAAAACCAGATTACAAACCAAGAAGACATTTTCACTGAACATGATGGCCAAGGTAGAAAACATCAAGTTAAAAGAAGACAAAAATGAAGTACTATAGAAAGGTTGTTGGAATTTTCTCACCCAAAACTTTTGAACATTGGACTAGCATGGTTGAACTTTGACTACACCTTTAGTTACCCATACTAAGCCAACTTACAGTAAACTTTTTACAGACTAATTTTCTTCGTTTTGCCTCTTTCCGTTATTAAAAAATGGTTGAAAAGGACAGATACTAAGTAACTGTAAAGCATGAAGACTTGACCAAGCGCCGCGTATTATTCAGATTCAGACACGCTTAGAGAAGAAAAGAAAATAGAGAGAACAATCTGGAACAAAAACCAACAATACAATCACTCACTGCAACTTTAATCAGTGGCAGCAACAAAACCACGTTGTGTGAATAGTAATAACGTGTCATGGCGCACAATAGCAGCAACAGCACCGCGGCCGTGGATGGCGGTCGAGTCAACAGCCCACGTTACCTCAGCTCAATGACTCGCCGAGCCCATTCGTTCAAACGCAAGAACAACAACCATGAAATTGAGCTTCAAATCAACTCGCCCAGATCCCCCTTGGCTCCTGCTGAAGGGTCTGTTTTGAAAAGGAATAATATTCACCATCATCATGTGAGCCACAAGGAGAAAAGGAACAAGTTTGGACACTGGGTGTTTTTTCTCTTCTGTGGGGTGTGCTTTTTTGTGGGTCTTCTCAAGATTTGTGCCACTACCTGGTGGTTCCGATCTTCAGTACACAGTACACGTGAATCCGTTCAGGTTTCAGTTATACCGCGCCTTAATCTTATTATGACGTGATGAAGTTGTTGATCCTTGCCTTTTATATATTTGTTGGTGGAAAACTTGTCATTGAAAATCTTTTGTTTTCATTTCTAGTGTCCCTATTTGTCAATGATAGATTTTGCACCAAATTGTAGAAACCGAGGACAAAACTTTATCAAGGGCAGATCTTAAGTGCTTCTAGTTTTGTTTTTCCATCAGAATTAGAATTTCACTTTGATGGTAGGCATATATTAATGTTTAAATTATTATAGATTATTGAAATGAAATTTCAATGATGCATTTCTTAAGTGCTTCAATGATGAATTTCACTTTGATGACAATATATGGTTATTAAGTAGAATAACATTATTGTCCGACAATGAAAATTAGAGTTCATCGTGATGATAACCTTTTCCAGTGTTTAATTTAAACCTTTATTAAATGAAACTTCAATTTTGATTGGAAAACAACGTTAAAAGACCTAAAGCACAATAATTGAGATGTCTCCTAATTTGGAAGAATTAGGTAGGTTGACTGAGAATACGGAGGTCACACTAAGTAAATTACTTCACCCTCTTATCAGGAACTGTCTGACTCCATTCATAATCGAAATCTAATGGATCAAAGCTCCCTTGGTTATGCACATAGGGAGGGAGCAAATGAGGCTGAAAGAACTCTAAAGATTGTAACTGCAGGAATGATTGACAGTCACAGTGACATGGCTGAAGTAAGCCTCTAATCTATATCTCATCATGTTTTCAAGTGTGTTATATTCAGTTCATTATGTTAGGTTGTCAAATAAAATTCCAAGAAATTGGAATGAACGGCATATGGTGTTTTATTTGTGTATAAATTCTCATATGTATTTTCCTTTTCATTTATGAGCATTTCCTTTTTGTTCAGGAATCAGGAATCTGGTCTAATCCCAACTATGAGAATTTCACCCAGTGTATAGACCTGTCAAGAAATCATAAAAGTGTGTTATTTTAATATCAAGTATTTTCTGCTATTCTTTTTTTATTTTTCTCTGCTAATTTTTTAGTTTTATTTTGCAGAGCTTGATCCGAAGACCAATGGCTACATTCTTGTTAATGCTAATGGTGGCCTGAATCAAATGAGATTTGGGGTCTGGATGTGTTGGTTTCTAATGAAATATTTGAAAAAGTTAGGCAGGCGACAAGCATAATCTAACATTTTAATATATTTTGAATGCAGATATGTGATATGGTTGCTGTTGCTAAGATTATGAAGGCAACGCTTGTTCTTCCTTCTCTTGATCACACTTCGTACTGGGGTGATGCAAGGTTGGTTTATTTTTACCTCCTCTGGTACTGTGGTATTGGAAAATAGGATTGATTGGTGTATGCGCAATAATACCCCTGTTTCTTGCAAAACCAAAACTTCATTCAGTTTTCAGTCAGCGATGATTACTGATAAAAGATTTGTGTAGTGTTAGACTAGTTCAGACTAGTTCAAGTCGAGGCATTGCACAAATGAGAAATGGGGATGATCAAATTGCTGTAAGAAATGAACTAGGGATAAGTTTAACCAGGAACATATGCTAACACTTTTTGAGAAATGAGCCATCAATTGCAATCTTAAAGCCAACATCTTTTTACAATGTTCATAATCTCTGCCTTAAATGGCAAAAGTGGGCATGGGAAAGATCTAGTTGGTCCTTTGAATCTCCCCCTCTTCTCTTCCCCATATATTGTTTTACATCAGCTATCAATTTTTGGATTTGATAACAGTTCAGATGATGTTTTAAGTTGCAAATAAAATCCAATACTCAATACTCCATAAATAATTTGTTTTGATATGTTTGCAGTGGCTTCAAGGATTTGTTTGACTGGAAACATTTTATCGAGACACTGAAGGATGATGTCCAAGTAGTTGAGACATTACCACCTGCATATGCTGAAATTGAACCTTTCTCCAAAACTCCTATATCTTGGTCTAAGGTCAACATAATTGTCTATTACTTCTTGAGTTTAAAATGATATGTTTGAGTAATTGATTTATTGCATTCTCGTGGAAGGCGAGCAACCCATGTGATGTTTTTTAGTAGCCAGTTCCAGTGAATATCAAATAAGATTATGAAATGAGAGACATATTTGCTATCCATATTGATTGAGTTTCTTTGTTCATAGAATTACAATTTTTTATCTGTTTTCCATAATGTTTTAATGACTGTCGATAAATTTACATGCTTGTTCACAGGCCAGTTATTACAAGAATGAGGTTCTTCCTGTACTAAAGCAGCACAAAGTGATCTATTTCACCCATTCTGATTCCAGGCTTGCTAATAATGGAATACCAAGCTCAATACAAAAACTAAGATGTCGTGTAAATTATAGAGCACTGAAATATTCCTCTCCAATTGAAGAATTTGGAAACAAATTAATATCCAGAATGCGACAGAATGACCGTCCTTATCTTGCGCTTCATTTGAGGCAAGTTGCAACTCTAATATTTTAGTACAATGTGAAGAGTGGATCCTCTTCTCTTCTCAATTTTCTTCCTTTCTACTTTTTCCATTTTGCTCTACTCCATTTTTGTGTTTGAGTACATCTGTATTCTTAACAATGAAGGACTAGTTATCTGTCAGGTTGAATCCTACTCTATTAGTAGTTTATCCGAACTGATAATTTTTTTTTTCTGGACTGGAAGTTTTGAATTAAATATTTTGCTTTAAATCACCCTGCTCTGTCTCCTTTTTTAACAGGTATGAGAAGGATATGCTTGCATTTACAGGCTGCAGTCACAATTTGACTGCAGAGGAAGATGAAGAACTACGGCAGATGCGATACGAAGTTGGTCACTGGAAGGAGAAGGAGATTAATGGGACTGAGAGGAGATTGGCAGGGGGTTGTCCATTAACTCCCAGGGAAACTTCCCTATTGCTCAGAGCACTAGGTTTTCCATCACAAACCAGGATTTATTTGGTAGCCGGCGAATCGTATGGTAGAGGAAGTATGAAATACCTTGAGGATGATTTCCCCAACATTTTCTCTCATTCCTCTCTGTCTTCCAAAGAAGAGTTGAATCCTTATAAGAATCACCAGAACATGTTAGCTGGTATAGACTATATTGTTGCACTTCAGAGTGATATATTTCTCTATACTTATGATGGGAATATGGCAAAAGCAGTACAAGGTCATAGGCGCTTTGAAAACTTCAAGAAGACCATCAATCCAGACAAGTAACACATTCTTCACCCATTCATACTTGTAGATTGACTGTTTGATCATGTATTCATATTTACATTACTGCTGCAACGTGAAACTATTTCTGATTAAAGGGTCGGTGCAGGGCAAATTTTGTTAAACTCGTTGATAAGTTGGATGAAGGAAAAATTTCTTGGGAGAAGTTCAGGTCCAAGGTAAAAATACTTCACAAAGACCGAATGGGTGCTCCATATGTTAGGGAACGTGGAGAATTTCCTAAGCTGGAGGAAAGTTTTTATGCAAATCCTGTGCCAGGATGTATATGTGAAACAAAAACAAGATTAGAGACCTCACAGTAGGTTGTCTTTCATATGATGCCATGATGAGAGTTCCTTGTACAGAGCATTGTGGCCGTCCAATAGGTTATTTTCAGTACTTCCGTGTTGAGAAAGCAGAATGTGATTGTTCAAAAGCTTGGTTATATCACAAGTGCTATGTATTGGGGCAGGCTGCATGTTTTTTCAATACTTGAGTGTTTGAGAAGGTGTACATGCTTACATGGGACCAAGAAAAAGGAGTAAAAGCTGCTACCAAGTTGTTAAACTCAAAAGTTTACGTAAACTCGTGAAAGTTATGTAAACTTGATTCGTAAACTCGGATTTATAAACTCATAAGGTTGTTACATTTCAAATTGTAGGATCAAGCACGAGCAGAGTCAAGTATACCATATATACCTACCATTCACAACACATGATAAACCTTGAGGGGAAAACCTCATCCTTAGTCACCCTTCTAAAGAAAAAGGTTTTTTCTTTTTGTATTTCTAGATTTTTAATTATTCAATATCTTTTCATGCCAAGAAAAGATGGCTAGATTAAATAAGCTGTATTGTTGTAGTTCATTATTCAATAGTACAAAATACTCTGGTTTTGTGCATTAGCAATTCTTTTAAGGAGCTGTTCTTAGATGAGACTTTAATGCTGCTCGCTTTTTTACCCTTTTACAGAAACTTTCCGTTAATGATTAGAGTCTTGATACAATTTGTAGAACATCTTCAAGCTAATGAAGAAGTTGAGAACGCAAACAAATTCATTCTATTATAGTCAAACAAGAGGATAGGAATGACCTTGGGAAACTGGACCGAAGAATGGCTTGAAACAGAGTGATATAGAAGTTGAGACAAGTCAAAAATAACTTTGAATTTGTAATAGATTTATTAAAATGAAAATTTCAATTTAACTCATTTATTTAAACAAACTAAATTCAAATGTTTATCTTAATTTGTTCAAAAACTATAAGACCTCGGCTTTAATCATATAACTTCTTTGTTACTCAAGTATTATTTTCATCATAAATTTTGGTATGAAATTCAATTCATACAAGTTTTTTATATTATAAAAAATTAAAAAATTTAGAATTTATGATTTCAAAAAATATTTAATTAGCGAATATTAAGATTCGAATTAATAATTTATAGTATTTTTACCAAACATTTTTGTTGTTGTTGTTAATTACCTTTCTGGATTAATTCTCCCAAACATAACTTCAAACTTAAAGCTTTACATCGATGATCTTAATAAAAAAAGTTGAATTAGATATGGATGCTTATTAATAAAATAAAACAAAAAGCACAGAAAGAATACTTACGATGGATGTATGCCTTTTTGCTTAGAAATAATATTTCCATGGTGTTATTAATATGATAGTGTGGAGGAAGAAAATAAAGGACTTGAAAACATCTGTCAGAGACTAATACAAGGGGTTGAAAAAAGACTTTTCATTTAGCAAGTATTTTTACAATGGCACAAAATTGTATGGCCAAGATTCCAGTGTTTAACCTCCCAAAAAACTATGGAAGAAAACATCAATAACACTATAACTGAATAATAGATTCAACAAGGTCCTCAAGAGGTGCCAACTCTGCTTTGTCTATCAAACGGAATTCCTGCAACACAATACAATCATATCAGCCAAAAAATTCAGCAGATTTCAACCTGCAACAACATCTAAGTCACAATGCAAAACAGGAACAAATAAATGTATCGATGAATTTTTCTAGAACTTTGTAACTCACTTACCCAAGTAAACAAAACAAAGTGCTTGAAGCAAGTATTAAGGTGAGCTTCTTCTTTCAAACTCACTATCTTCTGAAAATGAGAATGGTAAATGTGAGCATATACACGGAATAATCGCTTGAAGATTGTCTTGACAACATCTCGGAAATTAGATGGAAAGGGAGCCCCTGCAGAAATTAATAAAAAGTGTGTTATGATGCAGAAAATTCAGAAAATCAGTGAATAACAGTCCAGAAAATTCAGCTAACTGGCTTTATCCGTATGTCCAACATACCCAATCTTTGAGGGAATATTGTTTCATCATCTAATTGAGATTCAATCCAGTCCATCAAGTACTCAACATATTTTGGAGCAGACACCTCTATTGGTTTCTTTATAGTAACACCATCAGCCCATCTATACTCATACCTGTAGATTTAATAAGTAATATATTCAATACTTGTTTCATATACATGTATAATAATGTTGTTTACATTGATTTAGATTCTTCATTTTAGGATATGAAGCTATGGATAATTGACCAAACTAGACCATGAAAAAGTTAAGGAAAAATGGCAAAGAAAATTTGAAAAAGGTTGCTGCAGTCTCAAGGAACATAGTATGCTTTATTATTCACATGTTTTATGTAAAATAAATTTTCCCAGTTTCTTGGTTGAAATCTGTTTCCTTTTGTCCCTCCCTATACATACAGCTCTATGAATCATCTTAGAAAATGTATTTAGCTATAAACTGCACATTCAAGACAAGAATCTCCCACATAACTCCAAACCTACTCATTCTCAAACATTCAAATAGCCTATCTGATCTAGCTGCAACAATGCTATGTAAGTAAATTAAGAAGAGTGGTTGAAGGATGAACAATACTTTGGTCCGGCAGACATTGTAGGGCAGTTATTTGCTGTGCAGAATTCAGTAAGTGTACCAAACAGGATATTCACTTGATTAAAGAAGTCAACAGCTGCACATAGAAACAAAATATAAATAACAATGTGCAAAATTTCTTAACTATGTCATGAAATATAATCACCAATGACAAAAAGTAACCGCGCTATGCATAAATAAAACACCAAGCACTGTCAATCTATAGATAGAAACTAGAGTACTATCTGCAAAGAGCCAAATATTAAAGATTCTTACTGTTTACAGCTAGCCACTCGTTGATATCTTCACCAGGAGGCAGTTTAACTGCTTCCCTCAAGTTTCCACTACCCAACGTGGCATCGATGTGTTTTTGAAGTTGAGCACCCTGTATTTTATAACCAAAATGTATAGAAGGCTCAATTGGTTGGACATAAACCATAAACAAAACAAAAAATGCAAAAGAATCCATTAACCATTCCACAAGCAAAAATACCAACCTTACTTCCCGATGGGGCACTCTTTTTTGGACGAAATGTTTTTTGGTTTCTGTATTAATCAAAGTTTGATTGCATGAGTAGTCATTTACAGAAACAAAACAAAAGTACATCACAAAACTGAGACAAAAACATAAAAAGAGACAATCATTTCACTTTCAGAAAAAGTTGCAGATTGGAGCAATTTTGGTTATATAGTGGTTTCTACTAGTGATCTATGCCCAATAAATGCGTATGGATTCAAACCAGAAGCAACTAAAACTCAAAAAGAACCCATCTACGCCAAAATCAAGTATGACCGTATTTCTGCCATGACAAAACCTAGTAATATCACTCAGTTGAGACAAGTCAGTTGAGACAAAACATTTAATATATCAGGAATTTCACCCCTTGTTCGGTTCAAAAGATGTAAAGGGATAAAATTCCTTCCTTGCAACTTTTGCCTCTCCCCAATATTGGGAGATTATATTTTTCACCCTCCTCCATCCTCTGATCTAAACATCCCTTATTACATTAATTAGATGCCTATTTGAATTCTCTGTCCTGAATCGCTTGATCAATTCCTACTATCAACTTCAGAACGTGGCAAAAACACCATTGCTATAATATAATAAAAGCAATAATCAAATTAAAGCATAGAGATTTCATAGCCATGTTATCAACACAGTCAATAATCATTATGTCTGTTATAGTTTTATGTATTTGATCAACCATCCCATTTAACAGAACACAGAAGACAATTTACGTACAAACAGATTAAGAAAACTCTAAGATCAAACAAAGGGATAAAAACACATCTTAAAACAAATCAAGAGCAGCCACAAAAATCAAAATCCAAGCTCATCCTCAAAAGGGTAAAACAAGAACACATAAAAAGACAATTTTTCTACAAAAAATCACAGAATCATAATGAAAATATCAATCAGAAGAAATAAGAGAGGAAGTGAAATGAAAAACCTGTTTCCAAGACCGAAGAGACTCATGGTGACTCAATCCCAAGTGTCTCTTTTTCTTGAAGATCCAAATACCAAAGGGTCGTCCTATCACAACTACAAACACTAAAATTTGATGAATTAACAAAACAAGTTTATATAAATATATATATAGACACAGAGACAGAGAGTGCTTACCCTCCTCATTGCCAGTCTGTCATTTCTTCCGTTTCTCTCTCTCTTCCCCCAAAATAGAGAGAGAAACCGAAAAACTCCATTTGCCAACCTGCATTATGCTTACCTGGCTGGCTCTGCCTCATGTTCCTCTTTTTTTTCTCCTAATTTTCCACCTTTTTCTTATCCCTTTTATTTTTGGCATATATTCTTATCCTCATTTGGTCATTTTTCCTTTTTAGCCTCTTACAATTTTAAGAGTTTGATGAATGAATGATAGGCTTGAATTCAGATATCCTTTTTTATTATGACAGTTGCACATGAATTCAGGTATCAAATTAATGGTGAATGAAAGCATTAAAAACAAATATCCTTTTTTATTCCTCAAGAAAATTTTATGGTGGTGGGCTTAAGTTTGAAATGTTCTCTTCAAAATATAGTAACTTAAATCTATTCAAATTGCCATAATTTGCTGTACAACGTTAAATATAATGTTTTCTTATATCAGTGGAAAGATAGAGAAGAAAAAAACTATAACAGAAGGAAAAATAAATGGATTAATTTTTGAGTGGCTTTGACAAGTTTCTTAAGTGACAAGTTCTCGATTTAAAAATGTTTTTAATTTTTTTGGCGAAATATAATTGTCAAAATCACGTTGAAGGTTCTCTCTCATCCAATCATTTACAGCTTGATGCCAACTTTATATTGGGTACTATATGTTTAATTTATAAGTATTAATTGGAATGAGATCATCCATGATACTATATGTTTACTTTGCACATAATAATTGTTGTGACCACTTTGTGAAAAATTCCTCCCCTTCTTTTTATTTGATTTTCATCATATGGTCTGAAACTTTTTTTAATACATACTAATGGTTGTTAAAATTTAAGTTTCGTACGTGTCTTTAATACTTGCTATATATTGAGTTATTTTTCTCTACAAAAATGTTATTGTTGCCTACCAAATATTTGCATTTTATATATTCATCAATAAAAAAACCATAATACATAGTTTTAAAATATACAAAAATTCTAAATAATTTGATATTTTTTATTGTTAAAATTTCATAAAAATTGATACGTAATATATTTAATATAAAGATAAAACTCAATGGTTGGAATCATATACCTTTTATATAATCCACTAATTTTTAATTCAATAATTCTCTTATCACACAAATTCATTGGGTTGACAATTGCAATTCAACGCAAAATTATTGATACATAATTACAAAGGAAAACAAACACAACATCGAAGGTAAATTTTTGAAAAACATTCAAAGTTATAATAACATATAAGCGTTTTAGATAAGTATTCATTTATATAGTCCCTTTAAAAAAAGGTTTACTAACAAATGTTACAAGTATTTTCGATTTTTTTAAAAGTAATTTCATTAATAGTTTATATTTAAGAATGAAATTACATATTAATTTTTAAAAGGGTTTGATAGAATTATAAAGTTTTTCTCAAATGTACACTATGTAGTTAGTGTTTCTTTTTTTATTATTTTTTAAATAGCTTCTTATAAAACTTTTATATAAGGATTTAAACAATATACACCATCTACATAGGAAATAGAAAATAGAAGATGAGATAAACAAATTATTTTATGCTAATTCATTCAAATTGAATTAAGTAGAACTCCCTTTTAAGTAAATTTTAAAATATTTATGTATAAGTAAGCAAGACATCACAATTGGAAAATGAATATCATGACTTAGTACACTTATAGAATAGTTTTTAGTTTTTAAAAGATATTTTATAAAGTTTTATTGGTTGTAGATTTTCTTTTAATTTTTGTACATTTATTAGGCAAAGAGTCTCTATCTGCAACCATTGAATTTTTGCATTTGTTAAGTCTTTCAAGCTTTTTTTTGTGGGTTTTTAAGTTGGTTTATATATACTTGAATAAAAAATAAATGTAAATATTTTGGTAAGCTTTTTTTATGCATTCTTCTCTAATTTTCTGCTAAGAGGGATGAAATTCAGAAATGAGTATATTTCTTAATAAGACTTTATTTCAAGTGATAATAGAAGATTATGTATGGTTTAAGATCTTATTGTTTAAGTGTTGATTTTCTAGTTTTGTCAGACATTATTGTAAAACTTAAAAATAATGAATTAACTTAATTAAGAAAATTAAATTTTAACAGAATAAACTTAATTAGACACAAGTTTTTATGCATAATTTTTTTTTTCTAAAGACATTCATGGGTTTGATGATAAAAAATGACATCATGTTTTGGTTATCTAACAAGCTACTAAGTATGTAATAGATTGCTTAAATCCATAGGTCTGTATGGTCATATGTAGGTTTTACATGAAAGTTTTAAACACACTCCAAAGAAAAATTTATCACGTGCAAGATTAGGTACAAGTAGCATAGGATAGGCAAACGAAGTCATATAGCATGGTATGCAAGTTCCATAATACTAGACCAGTCGACGCAGATTACAAGGTCAAAATGCATCCAAATTTAGTAGACATGTTATCCGAATCCTTATACATTAATTTGTAATTTATATTTTCTAGTTTTTCTTCTTTTACTATTTGTAATATATAACTTCTTATTTTGGAAATTATCTGAATCATTATACATCAATTTGATTGGATTTTTTTATCAGAAATTATGACTTTTTAAATTTCAAACTATTGATTCCTCTAGCAATTGCCACCTCCTATACATGTTTTTAAAAAAAAATGACTTTTTTTGTATTAATTTTACAACATTATAATATTACTTTATTTAAATAAGCATGCTAGGATACATATCCCTGCTCTGATTCTCAGTGGATAACTAGTCACTTATTATTGTTTTGCCCAATAGGATTATTATTGCAGCTATTGAAGTTGAAAAGCAGAGATAAACTAATAGCTTAATAAGGTTTAAATAGCTTAATAAAGATTAAAGTTTAGGATTTAGTGTTACCTGATATTATAAATTTCATGTTGGTCCGATTGCTAGTATTATTACATCAAAATACTTTTTATGTACTTTAACAGTTTTCAACTTTAAGTTCCATTTAATTTGTTGCCCTTATAATATTATCCTTGCAAAAAAATTAAATAAGAATGACCAAATAAAGGAAATCCATCACTTAAATGGTATATTGATGATTGATCTAGATAATGATGATATAGAAATATAGTAGTTGTTATTTTCTTTTTAAGTATGTAAGATCCCAAAAACATAATATAAATTATATAATAGAGTCATCACATAAAATGATAAAATAGAACAGTCATCTACTATGTAATAAAGTATTAACACTACAATATCCAAAAATAACAATAAAATTAAAACCTCACAACATTATGCCTAATAAAGAACAAAACTATTAACATAACCGATCGGTCTCTACAAAATCTCCACCTGACCGATCAGTCCTAATTTAAGCAGCTGGGTCCTATCCATCTAGCGCCTGCTCCACCGAACATTCCACCGAACACTCACCTTCCTCTGCTCACATCCACCGGATGATCATTGCAAAGGAGAAATGTCGAACGGGCAACAAGGCAAGACAGAAAGAAGGCTAAGCCAGTGTAATTTAATAGTCATGTGAACATACAATCCAAACACACAACACAGATAAAATAATTATACACAAGTAGAAAAACATATTACACGTATTGACCGACCACTTTAACCGATCGTCCGAACTAGTATGAATATGTAGCTTTGGTCGTTCGTGCACTCGTGGGTGTAGTAACTGGAAACCCATCAGCTGTCACACAAAGTTAACCCGTTATCACTCACCGTAGGACCCCCCTCAGTTAGGGCCTCCTGCTATTCTCACGACATGACTTACTCATCTTTACTTGAGAATTGGTAATCATTAGAATGTCAAGATGAACACCGTATATTTCGCTATCCATATTCATACTATACCACCACTTTGATTAATCGATCACTGAGACATTCCTCCTTGGAATTCCCTTTCATACCAGTTGGAACATCATACTTTATTTAAATTTAATACAATTTCTCATACAAGATAGATCAATACAACTCTAATAATCAATCTGAACCAAACAATGAAATCAACATTTAAAGACCGAATAACATTTCGTAGAGAAAAACGAACAGACAACAGCACAACCTCTGAGTACGACCCAACGAAAAAACACTCACAACACGTGAGCATGACCGAAGGGTCCTTCAACGAGCAATGCTCGAACAAGAGCCTAAAGCAGTTGAAGGTCGAACACTAGAACAACCGAACACTTTTAACTTAGATAGGACATTAAGAACTTAAATCGAATAATAATATAAGACTGATCGCTAATCGAATGGTCATTAACAAATAAGTCTCATAAAAGGCCGAACACAGTTAAGACCGAACACTAGTACAAGATCGAACTCTATAGCTAAACCGAATACTAGTATGAAACCGAACGTTATGAATAAATCGAATACTACTAAAACTGAACGTTAATATAACATCGAGTCCTACTCAAACCGAACACTAATACAACACCAAGTACTTTTAAGATCGAACGTGAATACAAAACCGAACACTGCTAAGACTGAACGGGAATACAAAACCTAACACTTATACGAAACCTAGCACTACTAAATCAAACAATATTACAGAACCGAGTACGACCAATAACGAACGCTAATATCAAACCGAATACTGCCAAGACCGAAAACGAACTGTTAAAACCGAACATCAGAAAAAAAAACCTAGCAACACTAAGACCGAATACTACTACGAAACTAATACTGTTAAGACCGAGTACCTGAACCTGACCGAGCGGTCAACAACGAGCGCTCGACTTTTTGCATAATTCTGCATAATGAAATACACACTAGAATTTACCAAAACTGAATATTTTTCTCCACTTAGAATTCACTCCAAGGTATGTATAATCTACAACTCAACAATCACAACATTTAACATGTCAAACAAACAATGTTGAACACCCAAACATTCAATTTCACCCACATGCAAAACCATCAAAAACGTTTTCATACATCATCAACCAAACAATTAAAGTAACTAGCTTCTCTTACCTCTAAACCGAACAGAAAATCTTCCACCCTTCCAGAATTTGCTCACACTTTTAGAAAATCCTAAGAACTCCTATAGCTCACTGATTGGTGAGAAGAGACCAACCAAAGTACCAAA